GGAGGAGGAGGAGGAGGAGGAGGAGGAGGAGGAGGAGGAGGAGGAGGAGGAGGATAAGGGGGGAGGGAGGCAGGCAGGAAGGGAGGCAGGCAGGCAGGCAGGCAGGCAGGCAGGAAGGCAGGAGGAGAAGCAGGTGGAGGAGGGGGAGGACAATGGACAATGGATCGGCTGGCCTCCACAGAAGTAGATCGGATAGAGGACAACGGAGCAGTCCACCCAAGATCAAAGACGCTGCTGCGAGCATTGATCGCCAGCTGCATGACTGCGGCGCTGCGCCCGAGCACAACACTCCGGCGCGACTGCAGCCTCAGCATGTCTGCCCTTGTGCTTGCGTTTGCTCTTGCTCTGGCCGGCGTGGCTATGATCAGCTGGGCCCTGGGCCCGCAGTCGCGAAGCGAGTTAGCTGGGCAGCGTGAGCCGTCTCAGGCCGACGCTCATCAAGAAGACTTTCACAGGGCAGCTGAGGCGAACGAGTGCCAGATCAGGAGCAGGAGCGTGAGGACCAATCACGACGCCCTTACTCGTGTCCTTGTCCTTGCCATTGCCCGTGCAGGGAACCTCACGAGCATGAACCGGATGAATGCCAACATCGCGAAATGCCCGCGGATCCGCCAATAGGGCCCAGGGAGCAGCACCACCCTTCGCCTTGCCGATGCCCTTGCACGAGCCTTTGCTCGCAGAGGCCGCTCGAGCGGGTACACTATCAGGAACAAGGGGCTGAAGCGCACTGGCAAGGGCGGAGCCCAGCCTGGTGGGCTGACACCACTCGCATGTGAGTCGCCAGGGCCTCGAAGCTGCGCAGCAGCTGCTGTAGGGCGCGCGCCTGCGAGCGCCGCCCCCGCGCACGGCGATCAGCAGCGCTGCGCCGTGGCCGCTTTGCGGCAGCCCATGGCCAGCGACGGAGGCGGGCCTAGAGGGTGGGGCGAGAGGGCAGCGGTCGAAGGCCGTAAATGGCGCTAGCCTGCAAGGCCCGAAGGCTGATCTGTGCCCGCACTTGCAGGAACAGGAGGAGGAGGAGGAGGAGGAGGAGGAGGAGGAGGAGGAGGAGGAGGAGGAGGAGGGGGAGGGGGAGGAGGGAGGAGGGGGAGGAGGGGGGACAGGGGGAAAAGGAGGAGGAGGACGAGGAGCCGGATGATGATGATGATGATGATGATGATGATGATGATGATGATGATGATGATGATGATGATGATGATGCTGATGATGATGATGATGAATGATGTGATGCTGATGATGATGCTGATGCTGATGCTGATGCTGATGCTGATGCTGATGATGATGCTGATGCTGATGCGATGATGATGATGATGATGATGCTGATGATGCTGATGCTGATACTGATGTGATGCTGATGATGGACGATTGACGATTGACGATGATGATGATTGATGATTGATGATGATGATGATGGATGATGATGATGATGATGATGATGATGATGATGATGATGATGATGATGATGATGATGATGATGATGATGATGATGACGATGCTGATGCTGATGCTGATGATGATGCTGATGCTGATGCTGATGCTGATGCTGATGCTAATGCTGAGGACGAGGACGAGGACGAGGACGAGGACGAGGACGAGGACGAGGACGAGGATGAGGATGAGGAGGAGGAGGAGGAGGAGAAGGAGGATAATGGGGACGTGGAGGAAGAGGATTAGGAGGAGGAGGAGGAGGAGGAGGGTGGGATGATGATTATATTATGATGATGATTATGATGATGCTGATGCCGATGATGCTGACGTTGATGATTAAGGTGATGATGCTGTTGCTACTGATGCTGATGCTGATGATTATTATGATGATGGTGATGATGAAGCTGATGCTGATGATGAGGATGGTGGTGATGATGGTGATGGTGATGATGATGAGGATGGTGGTGATGATGGTGATGATGATGCTGATGATGATGGTGATGATGATGCTGATGCTGATGCTGATGCTGATGATATTGAGAATTGTAATAATGGTGGCGGTGGTAGTGATGATGATGATGATGATGATGATGATGATGATGATGATGATGATGATGGCGATGGCGATGGCGATGGCAATGATGTTTTTGTTGATAATGGTGATGCTGATGATGCTGCTAATGATGACGAGGATTCTGCTGCTGCTGATAATAATGAATATTAGGATGATGCTGACGGTTATGATAAGGATAATGGTGATGATTATTATGATCATGATGACGATGTTGATGATGATGATGCTGATGAGGATGATGAAGATGATGAAGGTGAAGGTGATGGTGATGATGATGTTGATGATGATGGGAAGGAGGAGGATACTGATAATGAGGATGAGGACGATGATGATAATGATGATGATGATGATGATGATGATGCTGATGATGATGATGATGATGATGATGATGATGATGATGATGATTATGATGATGATGATGATGGTGGTGGTGCAGATGATTATGCTGGTGATGATGGTGATGATGATGATCATGATCATGATCATGATGATGATTCGTTTTACTTTGGTTTTGATGATGCTTATTCATCGTATTTTTACTAGTTTTATGATTGCTTTGGTTCTGATGAATGCAGTGTTGGTTTTCGATCTTCCGAGTTTGAGTGTCCGAGCGGCAGTGCGTAAACCTACTAACTTTTAGCTGTGGGGGGGAGCATTGCTCAGTGGAGAGGCCTGGCGGCGTTGCCGCCGACCCTGAACGTCGACGACGACGAGGGCGACGACGAGGACGAAGGCGACGACGACGACTCAACCGTCCGTCTGTCTGCCCTCCGCGGCGTCCTCAGGTGGTGCGCGGCGCGGCTGCCATGTACAGGACCGGGGCTGCCGTGCGGAGAGGGGGAGGGAGGAGGAGGAGGAGGAGGAGGAGGAGGAGGAGAAAGAGGAGGAGGAGGAGGAGAAAGAGGAGGAGGAGGAGGAGTGGTGGAGGAGTTGCTAAATTCCGCCTAGTGTCAAAAAAGCGAAGGGGGAGGTGGGGGAAGAGCAGGAGGAGGAGGAGCAGGAGCAGCAGGAGCAGCAGGAGCAGGATATGGAGTGAGGAGGTGGAGGAAGAGGAGGAGGGCCAAGTGGAGCCGAACGAGCGCGTCGTTCGAGGCATTTCTACAACCTGGCCGCGCCTGGCGGCTCCTCCTTGCAACGCCTCCTACATCGCGGTGGTCATGGGCGAGTCTGAGTATGAGGAGAGTATGGGTCGGTCTGAGCATGATGGACAGAGTGTGGGTAATTACGGTTTGGCTGAACTGTGTATGAGCGTATCTTAATGTACGTGAGTTTGAATGTGGGTGAGTCGGACTTTGAGCGGATCTGAGTATAAGCGGTTTGGAGCATGAGCAAGTCTAAGTCTGAGTGTTCGAAAATTTGCATGACTGAGTATGGGTAAGTCTGGGTATGAGAGAGTCTGAGTAGTGAACGGCTCGGAGCGTCACTGATCTGACTACGAGGGGTCTGCGTGCATGAGCCTGTGATTGGGTCTGAAATGGTGAGTGAATCCGATTGTGGACCGAGACTCAGCGATTCCCAGTTTAGGTGTAGTGAGGTGGAGTCGGATGGATGTTGAGTGTCTGAATGCAAGGTTGAAGCAGACGGGAAGGATGGAGGAGAAAGGAGGGAGGTGGAAACATCATACTGAGAATTATTCCGACGGCAGGACCCCACATGAGAATTTGTTTGGTTTGCCTTTAGCCTTTTCCTCCTCGCCCTGGAGGACACCCTCCCGTCGCCCTCTCTTCAGTCCTCTCCTCCTCATCCTCCTCCTATGTATCCTCCTCCTCCTCTCCTCCTTCTCCACCTCCTCCTCATCATCACCCTCCCCCATACCCCTTCCCCCCTCCTCATGCTCCTCCTGCCTCTTCTCCATGTGCACCTCCCCTTCCCCCTGGTCAAGTGCAAGCAAGTCGATTTTCCTCGGTGCCGTCGCCGCCCCGGTCAGCTCGCGCGCGTTCGCCGACGGCTAGATCGCGAAGCCTTTGGGGCAACCTCCCGCGGGCCGCTGAGGTGCGGGGGCAGGCCGTCGGGACAGCCCCGCGGGCCAGGCCGTTGGGACAATTCCGCGGGCCTCGAGGTTGGCGCGGCCGCGCTCAGGAGGGGGACAACGCGAAACCAAGCCGTGCTGCGAGCTGTTCCGCCTCGGTTTTGGAGCTGTCCGCTATCCCGTCGAACTTCGGAACGCCTTCCGCAGGGACGCTGGCAGCCCGCGTTCCAGGAACTCTCGCGCGGGCGGCCGCAGGATCAGCATGTTCCGCATGCGCGTGGCGCGGGGGAACATGAGGTAGAGGTGCGACCACCAGTGCTCGTCCGACATGCCCGTGCGACCAGCGTCCTCATCCCTGGCGCAGTCGATGGTGACGCCCTTGCGCAGCGTCTGGCCCTGCGACAGCGTGGGGGTCAGGTGCGACGCGTGCGTCTGGGTGAACCCCGAGCGGCGCACGACCTGCGGCCCCGTGCCCTGCCAGGTGAACCCCTGCGCAGAGCAAAATCCTCGCCCGCGCCTCGCCCCCGCCGTCGTCGTCAGCGCTTTCGGCGCCCTGTAGCAGCACTTGGGCGACCGCCTGGTAGATCGGGGAGGACTCGTTGACGCCGCGCACCTGCTGACAGGTTCCCTGTGGTAGGTAGAGGGGGCGACAGAGCTGGCTCACCGCGCAGTTTTCTTGTTCCTGCTCGCCGTTTGGGCGAAAGTCGAAGGAAACAGTGACATCTTGGCCCGTTGCACTTGTACGAGCCCCAACGTCATCCTATTCTTCGGCTCCTCCTGTGCGGCCGTGAGTCGAGATTCCATGCCGACGTGTGCCGGTAAAACGCCGTGGTTGTCCCCCGTGTGAAATTTTTTCACACGTCACTCACAAGCGAGGCTCCCGCCTGAGGCTTTTTCTAAATTCAGACGCGGAGGGCCCAAACAACGACGACAGTTACAGGATTTTGATGGTCCGCTCCGACTGCCAGCATGAAGCGCGGGCTCCATAGGGAGGAGGTTCCAGCTTGAACTTTCCTTGTATTTGATTCACAAACGAGGTTCCCGCGTGAGGTTTCTTCAAAATTCAGGCGCGAGGGGCCCAAAACGGACGTCAGTGACAAGATTTGGATGACCCGCTCCGATTACCAACATGAAACGCGGGCTCCATAGGAAAGGGGGCTCCCGTTTGATTGTTTTTCAGCGGTTCCGTCACGAACGAGGTTCCCGCCTGAGGCCTTTGGGAGATTCAGGCGTAAAGGGCCCAATATTCACGACATTTACTGGATTTGGATGGCCCGCTCCGATTGCCGACGTGAAGTGCGGGTTCCATAGGGATTGCGTTCCCGCTTGAGACTCTTTCGCAATGCGTTTGCATACGAGTCCCCTCTTGGTCGACTGTCATGTTGGGATGGTGATACTGATGACGATGGTGGTGTGTGTGCTGCTGATGGCCAATGATCATGATGGGAGCATGGTAAGATTACGAATGAATGATGACTGAATCTGAGTGCGTGAGAAAGTGGGTGGATGACGATGAGGGTTGATGATAGTGCTGGGTGGTGGTAGTGATGATGATGATGATGATGATGATGATGATGATGATGATGATGATGGTGAAAGGGATGATGATTGATGGTGGTGATGATGATGCTGATGCGTGATGACAGGAGGAGTAGGCATGAAGAGGACAGGGTGGGTGTGAGGAGTGCGCGGGGTTTCCCGAGAATGCAACAACTCTACGTAGGATGTGTGGAACGAAAAAACACATGTTGGGACATGCGAGAACGCACAAACAACATCACAAACACTGCAACGCAACAGTTTTGCAGGACATTTCGCAGACTTGCGCCCCCAATTGGGGCAGCGGGTACGTGTTTCCGTGCGCGTCGAACGCTTTTTTAACCTTCGCGCACACACACGCACGCACGCGCACATGCGCACGCACACACGCACGCACACACACACACACACACGCACGCACCGAGACTCCTTTATTATATGTATATGGATGTATATGTATAAGCACGTGTGTATAGTATGTTTCTCCCCTTCTCTCCCTCTCCCCTCTCTTTTCCTCCCTCCCTCTCTCGCCTTTTATCTCTGTCTCCCTGCCCATGCCCTTTTCCTGTCCCTCTCTACCTCAACTCTGCCCCTTCTTCTCCTTCCCTTCCCTCTCTGGCTTCGTTACCCCCTCGTCTCTTATGCGCCATTTACTTTCCCGTCCACTCGTTTTCCCCGCCCATGATTGGGCACATTCCCTCCGGCGCCAGGAAAAGCCACAACACCGTGAAGCCAGGGGAGCAGGGGAAGCGCGACTACGTGTACCCACAGGCTCTTGCGGATGGAAGGGCCGCCCTCCTCATCATCACATGTGGTTCATGTCTCGGCGTCGGCCAGACGTGTGCGTTTTTTTGTTCTATTCGGCGAGGGCCGCCGAGGAGCATCCCGGGTCATCTGGCAAAAAGAGGCACGCACGAAACCGAAGACTTGCACGCGGAAGGGGCGTCCGAACGACAGCAAGATGTTCTTCATGCCTAGCTCCTCTTCGTCGCCTCGCCGGACACGTCGGCAGGGCAGCCTGGGCGCTTCGCTGGGGACCTCGCCACGGCTCATGAAGCCTGAAGCCCGACAGTCCCAGCAGAGAAGGGGATGGAGGGCGGGCCGTCTTCAGTATCCCCTTCTTGCCTCCGCGCCGCGCACGTCCACACTAAACACTGCCTCTAATGGTTGCAGGGTGAGGGGGGTAGTTGTTTACAACATGTGGCTCTCGCTGGAGCGCCACGCACATCTGTCTTCAGCATCTCCAAGAACTATCAGGAACGATAGCGAATCACACTGAAACTGTGACTCGCGCCCCAGAGCCGCGCACTGGTGTTTACAACGCTTCAAATTTTGAATACAATTGAGGGTGATGAATTTTCATAACTGGGCCCTCGCATGATACTTCCTCGACTTGTGTGTCCTGATGTGTTAAGCCGCGCAGCATTTACATAGGGATGGCGTTTGTTTCAAAATCAGGTTCTCGCTTCACACGCTACTTTGGCGTTTGTAAGCGTACCCTATGGCACTTCTTAGAGCTAGGAAGACGGGGCCAGTTGCCTTTCAAAATGGGGCTTTCGCTGGAATGGTTGGCCCATAAGGATAGGACTCGCGTTTTCCAAGGGCGGTGAAAAGGGATGTGTGTAGGGACTTCTGGTGAGTGGACTTGGGACGGGAGTGTGCGTTGCGCCATCGTTGATGCACCATGGGTTTGTTCAGGTCCTCCTCCTCCTCCTGCTCCTTCCCTCCTCCCGTCCTTCCCGCCTCGTCCCCCTCTCCTCCTCGCCCTCCTCCCCTCCTCTCCTCCCTCAAGCCGTATGGGCTCGAGCACCAAGTCCACACGCCCCCGTGCGCGTGGCATCTTGCTCTTGCCCAGCCCTGCGCCGCCACGTGGTGCTTGGGGGGAGTCGAACCCGCCGTCCTTGAGGACCTGCACATCCTCAGAGGATAGCTGTTTTCGGCTGCGAAAGCAGGGCCATGTCAGGATCAGGACCTCGCCTGTGGAGTAAGTGCGCAAAGTGCGGGACGACCGAGTGGAATGACATTTTGTCTACTCGCAACAATCAGTGTAGCAAGTGCAGGTGCCCAGTCAAGGTCTTCAAGGCCAAACCCAAGAAGGATGGTTCAGCTGACGGCAGCCTGGACAACTCTTTGGTGCACGCCAACGGCAGCAAGGGCGACAGCAGCGCGTCCAGAGCAGCAGCGAGTGGCGCCGTCCCTGACGACAACCAGCGCATGCTCAGCATGCTCACGCAGCTGTTGGCCGACGCCAAGGACATGAGCACGAAGAAGCTTCTCTTAGAGCAGATGGCAGCGCTGCGCAGCTCTCCCTCTCCGAAGCCTGTTTCCACGGAGGAGTCGGTGAAGCGCGCGGACAGTGCTCTTCGAGACGCTCATGCCAAACACGACCAAGCTGTTCACCAAGTGATCAAGCTGCGTGACAACCTGCACAAGGCAGAGATCAAAGAGGCCGAAGCCGCAGTCAGTTTGGCACGCGCCGAAGCCGCCAAGAAGTTAGCGATCATCACGCTGGCCAAGGAGTCAGGGGTGCTCGCTGGGGATTCGCTCTCGTCCAGCCAGGCGGACCTCAAGTCCAACTTGTTCGATTTGCAGTGGGATGAGGAGTTCTTCAGTCGGCTCGACGAGTATGATTGTGAGGAATCAGAACGCATTGAGTTACGCAAGCTAGAGAGCGAGCTGCAGCAGGCACGTTCCAACCTCAGCGAGCGCAACACTAAGATCACGGAGTGGAAGAATCGCATGGAGCAGCTCAAGCAGACTGTCAACGATCGCATGGGGAAGAAACGCAAGGGGGTCGATGGCACGGCGGAGGCGAGCGGTGGCAGCAGCGACGGCGCCAGCGCAGGGGCCAGCGCCCCCCCTGCGCCACCCGCGACCGCGACAGCCCCTACGGGTGGCGCAGCAGCGGCCGCGGGTCCGCCAGTCGCCGCCACCGCTACGCCAGCCCCCGACGAGACGGCCATCGTCAACGAGGCGAAGCGCATCTCCGAAGCCAAGTTCAAGGCCGCGGAGCTCGCCAAGCAGCAGAAGGAGGCCGTGTCGCAGGAGAGTGTCTCGGGCGGAGCGTGAGCCTCCGCCAGTCGAGCCCAGTCTGCAGCTTCGACAACGGCATCATCATCAAGTCAGACATTCACTGGTATGTGCACACCCGCGTCTCAGGCGCTGTCTCCTCGGGGTTCAGCTGGGGGAGACGCTGGTGAGCATGGGGACAGTGGCCCTACGTCGACATCGGCGGCTTCATTGTCATCAAGTGAGGGCGCTTCAGGAGCGCCTTGCGAGTGTGGCGAGCCGTCACCTTTTAGTTCAATTTTGTTCGGCAGCGTTTCTTGCTGGGGCGAGCAAGCGTGGAACTCCCTACGGTCGCGCCCCGTCAGAGAGGCGCATCACTACATGGCTATCGCGGAGACTCATATCTTCGCCAGCCAGCAAGTTAGATGGCAAGGCAAGATTCGCGCTAGTAAGTTTAAGTCTTTTTTCAACCCCGCTCGGCCCAAGGACCATCAGCATGAGTCCAGGGGTGCTCGCGGAGAGGGGGGTGAACTGTTTTTGGCCCAGGGTCACAGGCAGGTGCATTCGCTCGGCAGTCCTTCTGAGTTTCCTGAGCTTTGTTCTGGCAGTGATTCGTTTGACGGCTTCATCCCCGTCGTCATTCATTTTAGTGGCTATTCCCTTGTAGTTATTACCTACTACGGCCTTTCTTCCCTCGGCTTCCACGGGGATAACGCCAGGCGGCTCTCTCGGGTTGGGGCCCTTGTTGCCACCTTGCAGCTTCCGTGGATTCTCATAAGGGGATTTCAACATGTCGCCGCTAGAGCTCGCCAAGTGCGGGTTTATAGAGAAAGTAGGTGCATATGTTTTTGTCTCGGATATAGAACACACTTGCGTTGCAGGCTCGGGCGGATCACATATAGATTTCATGCTGGCTTCTAAGTCGGCTTGCCCTTACGTCCTCGGCCTCTTCCCCATCCTCGACGTGCCTTGGGGCACGCATTGTGGGCTCAGTGTCAGGTTGCGTAGTCAAGGTATGCAGCTTATCACTAGGTCGCTCATGCTCCCTCGTAAGTTGCCTCAGGTCGTCCGTCCTTCGGTCGCCCCTCAGGCTGGGAGCAAATCGCAGTTGGCCAAGAAGTCTAAACAAGAACGCCGAGCCGCTTTCAAGGCCAAATCTGACGAAGCGTGCCACAAGTTTTTTGGGGATCTTCTCGGGCCCTCCCAGGTGCAGGTGGACGAGGAGTGCGGTAGCAGCCCCGAGGACCCCACAGACCCTTTTAACTCTCAGGCTCTGGCAGATTGGGACGAAGAGCCTGATCCCTGGGCCCAAGATGTTCAATGGTCTACTAGTGCTTCTGCTGTGCAGTCACCACTCGCGCATGACGAAAATCCAGGGTCCCCACCTAGTGGCACCGACTTGTTTTTGGAGGCTGAGGGGAGGTCCCAGGGCACCGAGCCAGTTGTCAGTTCCCCCTCCTTCTCCATCCCCCCTCATGTGTGGCAGCAGCAGCGGCACGAAGTTGGCTACACGCATCAAGTTGCTCACGATGTCTGGCCTGTTGTTCGGGATTCGGGTGCTTATCACATCGGAGGGCCTCACATTCTACACATCAGCGGGCTATACGCGTCTTGGGTCAAGTCTGTCGAAAAATCTGTTCTGGCTCATCATGGGGGAGAGTTACAGGAAGGCACATCACGTGCTGTCGGTCCGCATCTAGTCCAGCATGTCGTGCACAAGGCTGAGCATCTTCGTGAGGCGCCTATCTCCGATTATGTTGCAGCATGGTGGTGCCGCTTGCACACGGTCCTTTTGAGATGTTGCCGGCACCGTTCGCGGCAGAATGGTCTGCAGCAGATTGCCCTACTCGCCTCAGTCGCTCTGCGTTTAGTCAATGATATACCTGAAGGGGCTCATTACATACTTTTTCATGGTAAGCATCAGTTTTCTTGGGAGCGTTGGTTGCATTACCTACAGGATATCAGCACTATTGATATTAACATACTTGAAGACATGCATGTACAAGCCAGCAAGATATCACAACGTGCCAAGCGTAGGGCTGTTCAGGCCTCTCTTCGGGACTTCCAGGACTGGATCGTCCAAGAGTCCGCGATGGGCGCCGTGCATCGCTCCCTGCGTGCCGCACCTCAGGCTTCCGACGAGCTGTGCGTGGATGGCAAGCGTCTCTTCCGCCCGTCGGACATCGTAGATGCCAAAGTGAAGCAGTATCACTCTCTATGGGCTCCAGAGGAGTTCAACTTCGGAGAGGCTCAGGAGGTTTTTGAAGTCGTCAGGTCCGCCGCTCAAGTTGAAGATCTGGTTCCCCTTTCTGTTCCTCAGCTCCGCGGGGCCCTTAAGAAGATGAAGACCAAGGCTGGACTCGGAGTCGATAGGCTCACGCCCATCGACTTCGAGAGGCTCCCTGACAGCGCTCTGGAAGAACTTTCTGGCATCTACGAGGCCATCGAGGCTTCTGTTTCCTGGCCGTGGCAGTTACTTGTATGCCTGGGGAGGCTCCTCCCCAAGAAGTCTTCGGGCGACATGGTCATCGGTATCCCCCCTATGTTTTGTAGGCTCTGGAGCCTCGCTCGGGACGACCTCTCCAAGCAGTGGTCCAGGGGCACCGTCCCCGAGTGGGACGCCGCCATCGAAGGAAATCCCCCTCTGGTTGAAGCTTTTATGAGGATTCTCGACGCCGAAGTCGCCCACAAACTAGGTGCTACCTATGCTCATGGCGCGGTCGATATTGAGTCCTTCTACGACACTATCAAGTGGAGTAAACTAGTTCAGGCAGCTCTTCGTCTCGGGTTTCCCCCTGTTTTGCTTGCTCTCGAGCTTCAAAGTTGTATGTCAGCCCGCGTTCTTTCTCAGCTGGGCGCACATTCTCTCGGCTTTCAACCCACTCAGGGGTATCATTCAGGGTTGTCGTAACGGCACCAGGTTTGGTAGATGTTTGACGTATTTCATCCTTGAAACCATGACAACGATGCACCCTAGAATGAGTGAGCGGATATGGGTTGACGATTTGTACATGTCCATCGTCGCCTCTAAGAAGCAGGCCGAACTTTCTCTCGCTGAAGGCATTGCCGATCTAGATATTCTGTTTAAAGATCAGGAGCTCACCATGGCGTCCAAGTCGGTCGCCCTGAGCTCTGACCACCAGGTGGCCAAGCGTACGGTCCGCAATTTGAAGGCTCGTGGGGTCCATCTGGCAGCCGTTCTGCAGGCACCCTACTTAGGCATCGATGGCGGTGCTGGCAGACGTCAAGCACGTGCCACTCGGAGGCAGAGAGTGGTCAAGGCTACTAAGCAGAATCATAAGCTACGTCGTTTTGCACACGTTTCTAAGAGGTATGTTGTCACCAAGAAAGTCGAGCTTGCAGGTCCCCAAGCTGGTGCCACCTATTGGGCTCAAGTCTATGGAGTTTTTGGGTCGCATCTTCTGGGGCTCCGCCGTCGTCTTGCATCTGTGGTTGGGGCCAACAAACGGGGCCGCTGTATTAATTCGGTTCTGGATATTCGGTCTCCAGGTCAAGACCCAGGGGTGCGTGTGCCAGCCAGTTGTTTGCGTCAGTGGTTACATGCCTGGATCTTTTTCCCGTCTTGTCGCGCTGGTATCAGGAGAGTCTGGCCCTTGATCTATCAGCACATGCAGCAGTTGAGTCCGCACGTGCGCACGCGTCACATTCGTGGTCCTGTTTCTGCCCTCATACATCAGCTCATGCTTGTGGGGTGGGATCCAGTCTCTCCTGATCAATGGAATGGGCCATCGAGCGACGGCACGCCAGATTTCATTTGGAATTTCAATATTGCTCAGCTGGTCGGTCTTGACCAGACGCGAGGCATGATGCAAGAGTTTGTAGATGCTCTTCAGACTCGCCAATGGCAACAAGCTGCCAATCACTTTTGCGGCGCAGGTTTGGAGGACGGCGCCGACAATCGCAGTCTGCGGTTTCTGCTGCGACAGCTCCAAGATGCTCCACGGGGGCGACAACTCGCGGAGTTATTGCTTAGCATATCAGTAGGAGGCTCGTGGTTGCAGGCCAGGAAGAAAGGTGAAGGTCTTTCAGATTCTGATTTATGTCCACGGTGTCGTGACAATGCTGAAACCCCTCTTCATCGCTATTGGCTCTGTCCGAAGAACTGCAACCACGAGGCATACAGTCAGTCCGAGGGCCTCATTCCTGAGGCGATGTCCCAGGGAGAGGCCCATGCTTGCTTCTGGTTCAGGGGGATCATCCCTCGGCAGTGGACCTCGGTCGACCCCCCCACTAGCAGTGAGCTTTGGTCCGTCACCGGGATTGGGGCCCTCGGGGAAGGTAGTTTGGGCACTGGGACCTTACAGGATCCAGTTTATGTATGTGGTGATGCCTCTGGAGGCCCAGATGGTCGAGACCCTCGGCAGCGACGAGTGGCCCTCGCCATTGTCAGAGTTGACGGTTTCACTCCTTTCAGCGCTACCACCTCTGTCTCCGGCCCTCTCCCTGGTTCCCCTCAAACTGTTCCCCGAGGTGAGTTATATGCGTTCATTATCACGTTACGGTTTGCCCGAGGTGTCGTCGTCTACGTTTCAGACAACGAAGAAGTCGTCCGCGGGTTTTGGGATAAGAAGTGGCTCCGACCACAAGGAGAGATGGCTGATCTATGGCGTCTAGTAGGTGAGCTCATGGCCCAACGTGTCCATGAGCATGTTGCAGTGCTGCAGGTTCCTTCTCATCTCAGTCCTCACGAAATCCTTCGAAGGCGGGTTCAAGGGTGGATGGTCTCGGGCAATACTATTGCAGATTTTCTCGCAGGTGAGATGGCTCTTCGTTTCAGAGTTCCTGAAGTTCAGAGGTTCCAAGTTCACGACATTGAGAGAAAAGCAGCTCTCATCAGAAAGCGTTTGATGAGGTCTACGCTGGAGGCGATCGAGGCTGACCGCTGCAGGCAGACTGAAACACGGCGTTCTGAGCGTGCTGCTGCTGCTGCTGCACCGGTTCCCTCTCCCCCTCCCCCGCCTCCTCCCCCGCCGCCGCCCTCGCCCGCTGCGCTGGCCCTTTTCGGGTCCAAGCACCAGCTGGCCGACGACGGGCAGTCCTGCCAGAAGTGCTACGGCAGGTGCACTAAGGCAGGCCGCACCCGCTGGCTAGGCACACCGTGCCACCCTCTTTTGCCTGCCTCGGGGGACTTCCTTCAGCCTCCCCCCCAGGGTCGTGTGCACATAGGTGGAGGAGTGGTTTTCCCTGGACATCGGATGAGGTTTCATACCATTCAGCGTGTTTGGATCTGTTTCGAGTGTGGTGCCATCGGCCAGCAACAGTTGCGGGCCTTGGGTGCACCTTGTAATCCCAGATCTATAACCAAGAAGAGGCGGGAGTACCTGAGTCGCCTCCAGCGCGACTTGGCTCCCAGGTAGTGTGGTCTTGTCGATATTGCTTCGCAATCGTTCCGAATCCGAATCCGAATCCCCTCCTCTCCTCCCCCCCGGTCGGTGTGGGTCCTATTCCTCCTCCTCCTCCTGCTCCTTGCCTCCTCCCATTCTTCCTCCCTCGTCCCCCTCTTCTCCTCGCCCTTCCCTTCTCTCCTCTCTCCCCCCGCGTCGGTGTGGGTCCTCCTCCTCCTCCTCCTGCTGTCCCGTCCTTCCCCCCTCGTCCCCCCCTCCTCGCCCTCCTCCCTTCCTCTCCTCTCCCCCCCATCGGTGTGGGTCCTCATCTTCCTCCTCCTGTTCCTTGCCTCCTCCCGTCCTTCCTCCCTTCTCCGCCCCTCCTCCTCGCCCTCCTCTCCTCTCCTCTCACCCCCCGTCGGTGCGGGTCCTCCTCTTCCTCCTCCTGCTCCTTGCCTCCTCCCGTCCTTCCCCCCTCGTCCCCCCTCCTCGCCCTCCCCCCCTCCCCTCAGGAGGAGGAGGAGGAGGTGGGGGAGGGTGGAGGACGAGGAGGAAGAGGAGGAGGACCGACGTGGCCCAGAGACTTTCGAAGGTGCACATGCACTGTGATACACACAGTGAGGTGCCTTGAGGCAAACTGTTGCTGATACTGCTGCAGCTGGTCGTGCACGCAGGCGTGGTGGTGCGCATGCATTGTGTTGTACACAGGCGTTGTGGTGCACGTAGGCATTGTGGTGTACACAAGCACTGCCGTGCACATGGCTGTTGTGGTATCCGCAGGCATTGCGTTGTGCATAGGCGCTGTTGTGCACGCAGGCGCTGTGGTGTACACAAGGTGTACGTACCCAGGCGACGTGGTGCTATGGTGCACGCGGCTGCTAGGGTGTACAAAGGCACTGGTGTACACAGGCGTTGTGGTACACGCAGGCGTTGTCGTGCATACAGGGGTTATGATGCACACAGGCGAGTGTTGCGCTGGTGCTGTGGGCGCGCCTTGGGGGTGGGGGGCTACGCTGCGGTCGCCGTTACCGTTACCCCCCCCCCGCCGATCCCCATCACACGCGCTACCCCCAATGGATAAAAGAACAATCTCCTGTGGCGGGTCGGAAGCGGGGGCGCCGAAAGGCGGCGTTGGTGCAGCGCAGGCTGGCGCGCAAGTGGCCCCGCCGAAGCTCGTCGACATCGTCTCCGCCCCTGGTGGGCCTATGCGGCCGGGGCGGGCGCGTCGATGGCGCCCTGAGCGGCCGACGGGGCGTGGGGGGCACACGGGATCCTCCTCTCACCGTCGCCGTGTGTGGCCTGCACCAGCGACGTCGCTGCAGCCCATGGTTCCCGTCCGCGGCTGCATGTGCATGCGGCGGGCTGCTGGCCTCCCGCCCCGAGATCCCTCTGTGCCCCCCCCTCCTCCTCCTCCTCCTCCTCCTCCTCCTCCTCCTCCTCCTCCTCCTCCTCCTCCTCCTCCTCCTCCTCTTCCTCTACACCTTCCCCTTCCACCTCCAGTGATGAGTAAGCTTGGCTCCTCCTGCGAGCGGACTTACACGTGTTCCTTCTGGGGCCCGGAAATCCCCCCCCAAGGGCCAAGAGAAGGCCCCGCGGGCCGAACCATGTGGACTGGCAACCTCTCGGGGGCTGCGGCCCCGCCGCCGTCCTCTGTTAAGGGAGGTTTCTCCCCGCGCGGGCGCGGAGCGGAGCCGGCGCTCGCCTCGCCTCGCCTCGCCTGCGCCTCCGCCCCCCGGGCCGCGGGCGGCAGCCTCTGGTGCGCGCAGGCGGTGCACCAGCCGAACTTCCGCTTCGGGGGCGGCAAGGCCGACGCCGTGTCAGGCGCCGGGACGGGCCGGGGGGAGCGAGGCGGAGGAGGGGGTCTCCCTCCAGCAGGGGTTCGTAGGGTACTGGAGCCGCGATGGCATGGGCGGCTTCGGGCGACAGAGTTTACACACTCGCAGGGGGAACAAAAAACGGCATAAGCATAATTTGTTGGAGCTCCGCGCGGACTTCTTGGATCTGCGCTGGAACCTCTTGGCGGCGCCTCCGGCGCCGCCCCCAGACCCTTCCTGGGCCCAGGAGCTGTGTATACGCCTTCCTGGGCGCAGGAGCTTGCGTGGCGTATACACCGCTGCCGGGTTCAGGAGGGGCTCGGCCAGGGAGCAGTGGGTATGGTGCAGATTTCGTCGCCCTACAGCTCAGCCCTGCCCCCCACTGACCCTGACTCCGAATCCGCCGTCCGCCGTGCTTTGATAGATTTTCCGACTTAGGCTTGTGTCTGGAATGCACTGATGGGCTTGTTGTCCACCACCACCACCACAATAAGTTGGAGGGGGGAAGGAGGTGGAGGAGCTCGCGGCTCGGAGGGGACAGATTTTTTGTTCGCGGTGTTTGTCGTGTTCCACCCACCCGCGGCGGCAGCGGCTGCGCCGCGGTCGCGGACTCAGCTGCAGCCGCGGCTGGGAGGGGGAAAACTATCGTTAAGTCGGGCCTGTCCCTCTACAGGAGGAATATTCAAACATAGTCACAAGAAAAAGTATGGGGATGAATTTTTGAGTATTGTTTACGTATTTTTTATTCTTCGTCGAAAATGGGCCTGTAGGAGGACATGCCCGACCTAAAACTATCGCGAATTTTCCGAGGTGCTTTCCTGTTTCAGCCGCCAGGGCGATTGCGGCCGCTGTCGCGGCCGTGGTTGCGGACGCGGCTGGGAGGGGAAATTATGGCGAATCTTTTTTGCAAGGGTTTTCTTCTTTCAGCCGCGGCTGGGGTTGGGAGTGGGGAACTATCGGGAATTTTCGCGGTGGTGTTCTTCTTCCAGCCGCGGCGGGGGGAGAGGAAACTATTGTTTTTTTCTCGGTGGTCTCCTTTCCAGCCACGGCTGCGGCTGCGGCCGCGGCTGCGGCCGCGGCTGGGAGAGGGGAAATTATCGCGAGTTTTTCGCGGTGGTTCTCCTCTTCCAGCCGCGGCCGCGGCCGCGGCTGGGAGGGAGAAGCTATCGCGATTTGTTCGCGTTTTTGTATTTCCCCACATGTTTCGTGGGGTTGTGGTTTTCTTCTCTGCCGCGTCGCACCCGCGTCTCCTCACACACACCTCCCCTCCCCCCCCCCTCCATACACACACAGCACAGCTCAGCTCAGCACAGCTCAGCACTATGCGTGCCAGGGTCGGAGAGCGTGGCAGGGGTGGCACTTTTTCGACACCCCAGGGGATGCGCAGAGGGTTGTCCCTCAGCGCGGCCTCTATGCGCGCCAGGGTCGGAGAGCGTGGCAGGGGTGGCATTTTCCCGACACCAGAGAGGGTGCACAGGGGGTGGTCCCTCAGCGCGGTCTCTATGCGTACCAGGGTCAGAGAGCGTGGGGCAGGAACGGCACTTTCTCGACACCATAGGGGGTGCGCAGAGGGTGGTCCCTCAGCGCGGCCTCTATCCGTGACACGCTCGCAGATCGTGGCAGGAGCGGCACTTTCTCGACACCACAGGGGGGGCGCACAGGGTGGTCCCTCAGCGCGGCCTCTATCCGTGACACGCTCGCAGATCGTGGCAGGAGTGGCATTTCCTCGACACCACAGGGGGTGCGCAGAGGGTGGTCCCTCAGCGCGGCCTCTACCCGTGACACGCTCGCAGATCGTGGCAGGAGTGGCACTTTCTCGACACCACAGGGGGTGCGCATCGGTGGCTCGCAGATCTGGCAGGAGTGGCACTTTCTCGACACCACAGGGGGGGCGCGTCCCTCAGCGCGGCTATCCGTGACACGCTCGCAGATCGTGGCAGGGGCACTTTCTCGACACCACAGGGGGCGCAGAGGGTGGTCCCTCAGCGCGGCCTCTATCCGTGACACGCTCGCAGATCGTGGCAGGAGTGGCACTTTCTCGACACCACAGGGGGTGCGCAGAGGGTGGTCCCTCAGCGCGGCCTCTATCCGTGACACGCTCGCAGATCGTGGCAGGAGTGGCACTTTCTCGACACCACAGGGGGTGCGCAGAGGGTGGTCCCTCAGCGCGGCCTCTATCCGTGACACGCTCGCAGATCGTGGCAGGAGTGGCACTTTCTCGACACCACAGGGGTGCGCAGAGGGTGGTCCCTCAGCGCGGCCTCTATGCTCGCAGATCGTGGCAGGCGCACTTTCTCGACACCACAGGGGTGGTCCCTCAGCGCGGCCTCTATCCGTGACACGCTCGCAGATCGTGGCAGGAGTGGCACTTTCTCGACACCACAGGGGGTGCGCAGAGGGTGGTCCCTCAGCGCGGCCTCTATCCGTGACACGCTCGCAGATCGTGGCAGGAATGGCACTTTCTCGACACCACAGGGGGTGCGCAGAGGGTGGTCCCTCAGCGCGGCCTCTATCCGTGACACGCTCGCAGATCGTGGCAGGAGTGGCATTTCCTCGACACCACAGGGGATGCGCAGAGGGAGGTCCCTCAGCGCGGCCGCTATGCACGACGGTCGTCCAGGGCATAGCAGGCGTGGCACTTTCTCGACGTCATAGGGGGTGCGCAGGGGGTGGTCCTTCACCGCGGCCGCTATGCACGACGGTCGTCCAGGGCATAGCAGGCGCGGCATTTTCTCGACACCCTAGAGGCTGCGCAGGGGGTGGTCCCTCAGCGCGGCCGCTATGCACGACGGTCGTCCAGGGCATAGCAGGCGTGGCACTTTCTCGACACCATAGATGGTGCGCAGGGGGTGGTCCCTCACCGCGGCCGCTGGCTGGCTCGAATCTGTCCTCGATGGAGGATAGAAGGCTCGGAAGAGGGAGCAGGTTCAAGCAATATGGCGTTGGATGACACATAGGGGAACATTCGCGACGAGGGCTGAGAACGCAGAATTGCGCATATATTATAAACTTGAGCAAACACATCAGATTTAAATTAAGTATGTGGGGTTCCTCGGTAGCGTAATTCTCTTCCGGCCGCGGCTGCGGCCGCGGTTGCGGCCGCGGCTGGCGGCTGCGGCTGCGGCTGCGGCTGCGGCTGGAGGAAGGCGGCAATGTCCGCGCACGGCACATCTTCCCTCAAACGTGGGACGGAAAGAGCGACGGCAGAGCGGGGCGGAAATCGGCATCAAAGCAGCTTGAAGAGTCGGGCGGGAACTTCCGCCCCGCTTGCGAAACTCGGCGGCGAGCAGAGGGGGGAGTGAGCAGGAAAAGGCCTTCTCAAAAGGCGGCGAGGCTCCTCGGGAGCCCAAGCCCCCTGGCCTCCGGAGAAGTGTCTCCCGTGCCTTCGGGGAGGGCTCAGAACACTTCTCGGCAGGCCGCTGGCCTTTGAAGTCCCCCCCCCTCTAGGACGCCTGGTGTTTTTTCCAGGAGGGGATAACACACACAGACGCAAACAATCGTCGATCCCCAGGGAAATATGGGAAAATATTGGAATTGGGGAGGAAGACTCAAATCCAGAAAATATGAAAATAGAAGGAGAATCCGGGGATTTGTATGATTTATATATATATATATATGTGTTTGTGTGTCCCAGGGCCCCTCCATTTTTCGGTCATAGCTCGGCTCTCCGGTGGCCGTTCCCGGAGCGATCTGGGCACCCCCGGGGAACGCCCGCCCTCGGCGAGGCGCAGCCGCTGGAGCGCACCCCGAGGCTGGAGAGCCGCCGAGAACCGACGACGACGCCCGAAAACCTCGAACCTCGAACCCGAGACTCCCGAAACTGCCCCGTCTCACTTCCCCCCCTTGAGCTCGCCGCCGACTCCTCTCCTCCTCCTCCTCCTCCTCCTCCTCCTCCTCCTCCTCCTCCTCGTCCTCCTCCTCCTCCTCCTCTCCTCCTCCTCCTCGCCTCCTCCTCCTCCTCCTCCAGCCTCCCATCCGTCCCTCATCTCCTCCCTCCCTCCTCCTCCTCCTCCTCATTGCCTCCTCCTCCTCCTCCTCCTCCGCCTCCGCCACCGCCTCCGCCTCCTCCTCCGCCTCCACTTCCGCCTTCCGCTTCCTCATCCTCCTCCTTCTCCTCCTTCCTCCTCCTTTCTTCTTCTCCTCCTCCCCTCGCCCCTCCTCCACCCCTTCCTCCTCCTCCTCCTCCTCCTCCTCCTCTTCCTCCTCCTCCTCCTCCTCCTCCTCCTCTCCTTCTGTTCCCCATGATCCCCCCCACCCATGCCCCCGCGCCCCTGCTCCTCTCTCTCCTCCTCCTTCTGTCTCCCCAGCTCCCGCCCAAGCCTCCC